AGATTCGGCTGCAAAAGACAAAGGAAACGAAGTGAGGATGCCGGCACACCACACATAAGACATGAGAGCGAACAACTTCAAATCATGTCCGGGTGTATATAGTCTGTATACGGAACTATCATATATATATATATGTATATATGTATATATATATATGTATACATATGTATATATATATATATGTATATGTATATATATATATATATATATATATACTTTGGAGAAGGAGAAGCAAAAGCCAGAGACAGAAAGAGAGAGAGAGAGAGAGAGAGAGAGAGAGAGAGAGAGAGAGAGAGAGAGAGAGAGAGAGAGAGAGAGAGAGAGAGAGAGAGAGAGAGAGAGAGAGAGAGAGAGAGAGAGAGAGAGAGAGAGAGAGAGAATCCAAAATTTCGCGAACCTGGCCCGCCGATATGTCCAAGCAAGGCTCAAAAGGATTGATTGCAAAGATCGGTTGCAGGGCTTCAAGCTCGCAAACAGATCGACATGTCTGCTGCCACAGCCATGGATCAGTTGAAGGGGGATTTGGCTGCTACAGCCAATTTTCTCCAGTCCATGACTGCACTCCCGAACTACGACAGTGTTAGAGAGGTGCAAGCAAAAGCCCTTTGCCAGCGAGTGAAGAACCTTGCCTCCGTGGATGCAAATGGAGCCTCAGCCCTGCTGGCTGCATGGACTGCAGGAAAGCAATGGACTTCTCCACAAACAAAGGAGTTCAGTGATCTCTTGGCTGGAGCAGTAGCTAGAACCAACACCGGGACAGGTCAGGGTGGCAAGAGAGCTACTCAGAAAGTTGATGCTTTCGAACCTTACCTGTCCGTCAAAGATATCCAGGCTTTGGAAGCTGGTGACAACATCCACGTGAAGTTGGATGTCTTGGCATGCCGGTGCATCAAGCTGAGGCTCACCTGCCCATCTGAGGCTTGCTGCAAAGCGATCTTGGCAGCTGGCTTGGCCAGGGCAGGCGGTGATGTGGGGGCGGTTGACAGCTATGCCAACAAGCAGTTGTTCAAGAAAATGCTGAAAAGCAAAGCCAAAGGCTTGCCCAAGAATGGCTTTCACCTCGAGCATTATCCAGCATCGCCAGACAATCTGCCCCCTGAGCTCGCCGATGCATACTCTCAAGAGGATCCTGCATGCACTGTGCAGATGCAATCTCCCGACAGGGTGCAGGCAGCATCATCTGCAATCGTGTTGAGAGGGAGCTCGAAGAAGCTTCGTGGTGGAAACATGATGGGTGCCGGTGGCATGCAGAGCTGGCCTGCAGTGTGTGCAAGTGGCAACAACAACCCCATGAACATGCAATTCAACATGGGCCTGCAAGGAATGCAGCCCGGGATGACGATGATGGGTATGATGAACACCATGAACAACATGATGCAGAGGCTCATGCAGGACCAGAATAAGCAGCAGCAGGACCCGATCCCGAACATGCAGTACTTCGCACCCGGTGGAGGTCAAGCGGGGGCAACCACCATGGGCCAGGGGCCTGCAGCAGGAACCCAGGCACCTGCAGCAGCAACCCAGCAGGCACCCGCAGGGGCATCTGCATCGGTCCAGCAAACAGCAGGCGGCAACGAATGCATCAGCTGGTGTCTCGCCGGCAGTGCAGTTGGAGATGAGTGATCCTGAAAACGACGAGGCCGACGAGGCAGAAGTGTTGAGGCAGGCTGGGCTCGTTGCAGATGCAGTCAACAAGAAGAAGGGGATTCTTAAGAAGCCTGCAGGCTTGCCCAAGGCAAAGGCAAAGGGCAAAGCCCATGCCAAAGCAAAGGCAGCCAGTAAGGCCAGTGCCAAGGCCAGTGCCAAGGCCAGTGCAAAGGCCGTTGCAAAGGCCAGTGCAAAGGCCAGTGCAAAGGCCAAAGCCGCCCCGGCCGGTAGCAGAGAATACTATGCCAATCTTTCCATGAAGAAAAGGGTGAGCCTTCGCCCGAATGGTTGCAGCAAATGCAGATTCGCACCAGGCTGCAGGCCCAGCTGCTTCTGTAAGTAATAGCTGCTTGCCCGATTCAAATGACCGGCTCGATGAGTGGGGAACTCGTCGACTGCAGCACAGAGGGAGGAAAAGATCATCATGCAGGCATGCACTTATGCACATCATGTTGCCTCTTCTGCTGCATGTGTGTGTGTCTTGCCAGGCAGCATGTAAACCTGAGTGATCGGATCGGCTTGCAGATTGGTCTGATGCTGCATTGCAAGTATAAATATCTCCTGTATATATATATATGTATATATATATATATATATATGTATGTATGTTACATACTTACACACACACATATATATATATTATATATATATATATATATATATTATATATACGTGATATTATATATTGGTAGATATAGTCCAGCCATTATAAGAAATTAGTTGTAGATCGTGTGCATACATTGTATCATACGTGCATCCAGAGGTTTTTGTTGTGTTGAAGAAGGTTTCGTGGGGACAAGGATTTATAGACAGGTTGACACATGTTGTATGTACAAACATATTTATTGTAAGAATTGTTACTTCTAATATCCGGTGCCTGCAGGGCATTTTGCTCGCGGGCAGCCATCTTTATAATCTATGTCGCTCGCTACCATCGGCAGAAAGCACTATGTGAGCCAGAGTGCTCTGGAGGCAGTACTGAAGGAAGTGGCTGCATGCCCTGAAGTCCTTGACTCAGCCTCCCGGCGAGGCATCAAAAGGGCACGGGATTCCGAGCTGGAGGCAGAGACTCCTCATGGCCCTTTGGTGGCCAAGATTACAGTACCTGTGGAGGTGAAGAGCCGAAAGGCAGCTGGAGACGAGGAGGTGAAGATCGTGCCGACAGAGCTGCCGATCCTCAACCTGATGGCATGGATATGGCATGTTTGCCAGTCCATGCCTGGTGTAGCTGCCTTTTTCCAAAGGCAGCTATCGAAGTACCCGTGCACAGCAACCAGCCCATGGCGCATGGCTTTATACAATGATGAGATTAGTCCTGGCAACCAACTAAAAGCCAGCAACACCAGGAAGATCCAAGGGTACTACCTCAGTTTTCTCGAGTTTGACGCCGAAGGCCGATGCCAAGAAAACCTTTGGTTCCCTTTGAACTTGACTCGGTCTTCGGTGGTCAACAAGATCCAGGGCGGGCTGTCTGCACTCACCCACATTCTGGTCTCCTCGGAATCGTTCCTGAACCTCCAGTCGGGCTGTTTGCTGAACATGCCAACTGGGGAACGGGTCATGTTCTTCGCGAAACTGCATACTGTAGTTGCAGACGAGGCAGCTTTGAAATCTATGTACGACTTCAAGGGCTCCAGTGGGACTTTGGTTTGCCCGCTATGTGCCAACATAACAAGCAAGACCCACGGTGATCTGCCAGCAAATGACCACTCGGGAGAATTGCATGACATATCATGCATCGACAGCAATCTGTTTGTCCGCAGAACCGACAATCAGATCTTCACTGCACAGGCACTGCTGGCGAGAAGGCAACCCATCCTGAGCAAGAAGGATTTTTCCTTGCTCGAGTCCAGCATGGGCTTGAACTTCAACCCATGTGGAGTGCTTGCTCACAAAAGCATGCCGCTTGTGAAATGCTTGATGTGGGATTGGATGCATTGTTATGTGGTAAGCGGCCTCCTGCACGTGGAATTGAGCTTACTCTTGCCACTCTTGCATGTGCAGGGTGCAACATTTCAGGTGATCCAGAGCTTTATCTCAGAGTACGAATGGCCTCACAACCTGAAGAACCGGAGAAGAGAAATCTTGCATTTGTTCGACAAAAGGAGCAAACCTTCTGAGTTCAAGGCCGGTGCTTCGCAGTGCATCACTGTCTATCCCTTGCTGCGGCTTTTCTTGCTGACTCATCACTTTGACACAATGGACGACGAACTTCGGCGATGCATCCGATCCTTTATGAAGATTTGTATGGTTCTCGACCTCCTGCTTGAATGCAATCGGACTGGGAACCTGTCGCCGGACGAGCTCGAGAATGCGATTCGGGCCCATAGCCAAGCTTTCCTTAAAGCATATGGAGAGCAGCACTGTATACCGAAGTTCCACTATAGCCTCCATCTTCCCCTGATGGCTCGAGACAGGCCTCTGATTTCCTGTTTTACACACGAACGAAAGCATCGGCAAGTGAAGCAGTTTGCTGACAACACGAAGAAAGTGACCGACTGGTTCGAAGCTTCACTCTTTAAAGATGTTTTGGGCAGGGCTCTTCTGGATCTGTCTGAGCATGCTGGCTTCATGCGGCCCCATTTGAAGTCCCCCAAGTCTGTCACTGATGGCACTTTGCTGTGGCACCTGGGGCAGACATTCGGGTTTCAGACTCTTGAGCATGTGCAGTCGGCCATGCAGGCCGAGGTCTGCCCAGGACAGACTTGCGAGAGGGGTGACCTGGTGCTGCTTAAGACGGGGTCCGTTGCAGAGGTGTGGTTGTTTTGCCGGTTGCAGCATGGCGAGCTCCTGGCTCTGTTGAGTGTGCTTGAGCCACAAGGGAAGAATCTCTTCCGGGTCAAGCAGGACGGAGCCCAGTTCATGCGAGTGGCCGAGATCAGTCGAACCTGCCTCTTCAAACGCATGAGTGCAGACAGCATGCTGGTCGTGCCATAAAAAAGATTGTTGTGCATATATGCCTGCGAGCGAATCGCCCTGCATGGCGACACATGAATTGTCACAGTTTTCATGTTCTGATCCTGCCTGCGAGCGAATCGCCCTGCATTGCGACATTGGATTTTTCATCATCCTCATGGGCATCATCATGGTTTTAAGGTGCTGTTAGTAAAATGCTAACTTCGTTAACTGTGTTTGGCTAACTTCTGTAATTGTACCTTGCTAACTGCACTTAGGTCAATTGCTATGTTAGACTAGCCATCCCCACTAAACTGTACAATCGATTACTAACTTATGTATCTACTTATTAACCCACCGCCCTTAGAAGTAGGTCTTGTCACACTCTTGCTTGTGATCCCCCCCCTCCCCTAGCCTCCCTTGCTGCCTCAAGCCCGCCGCCTCCCGCCTCGCCAATCATGGCGTCACCTTCGGCGTCTTCGGCTTTGGTTGACTTCGACCAGCTCGCCACCGAGGCGGGGGCGGGCGACTTCCTTCGTCGCTACCTGACGGCCCGCGGCTCGGATCGCACAGCCACCTTGGCACTGATGGCGCCCACGGCGGAGCGCTTCGCCGAGATCATCATCGATCCGCTCGGGCCCGGCTTCGTCACGGCCGGGGAGGACGAGTTCAAGCTGACCCCGGCCGAACTGCCCACCGCCAGGGCGGTCCTCACCCACATGTGGGAAGAGGCCAGGGCACAGTGGAACGCCTGGGCCGCGGCTCGCCGCCGCCCCGGGCCCGGTAGCTCCGGCTCCTGCGACGGGCGGCACGCTGCCGTTCCCGCCGACGGCGCCGGCTGGGCCGCCTAAGCACTTCGCCGAGTGGGGCACCCTGGTCAAGGCCTACAACGACCGCCTGGTGGACGGGCGACCGAGGACCTTTCCTACCCGCCGCCTGGCTGGGGCGGAGGAGGTGCTCGCCAGGATTCACTGGGAGCACACCGTCAGCTTTGCATACTCGCCATTGGGGTTGGGCGAGATCCTGTCTCAGAGGACATGGACCGCCGCCAACGAGCTCAACCCCCTCGCCGCCGGGCGTCGCGACTCGGCCGCTTCCGCTGCTCTCCACCTCCTTGGTGGCGGAAGAGAAGCGGCCGTGGCAGCCCAAGTCCGTCATCGCCATTTGCGACGGGCTAGAGGCCGTCAAGTGGGCCTGGATACTCGTCCAACTGGGCGCTGAAGAAGACATCGAGTCCTATATCGCCTGGTGGGATTGTCGGGCGAGGGGCAGAAATGCTAACCTTCTCGCCCTGGTGTCCTATTGGGACTCCATGGCGATGCGCCTCGCCATGGACCTCCGCCAGCGGAGGACCTTCAAAGACGCCACCGCCGACATCATGGCGCAATGGCGGACGTCTCCTCCTATGTCGAGGCTGTGACCGCCGCGCCGTCCCGCCCAGAGGGGCGGACCAAGGGCAGGCCGCAGCCTACCCAGACGAGCCCCGATGCCGACGACTCCTGGGTGGAGCCCCCCCCCAAGCGCATCCGCCCGGGCCGCAAGGGCAAGAAGGGGGCCAAGGGCGGCAGCCAAGGGCGGCCGCCAGCAGGAGCCCAAGGGCGGCAAATGGACCAAGCAGGGCCAATGCTCCGCCGCCGACGCCTGGCAGGAGACGCCCTCCGGCCACTCGGGGTCGGACGGCTGGGCATCCCATTCGTGGTCCGCCTCGTCCTGGGAGCAGCCCGACTCTGCGAAGGGCCAGCAGCAGCAGGCGTGGCGTTGGGCCGCCCCCCAGGGCGGAAAGAAATGGCGCTAGGGACAGCACGGGGCCGCATCAACTGGGGGCACTGACGCGGCACCCGACCCTAGCCCCGCAAAGCGGGTCCGCCGGCATTGGGGCAGCGCCCTGGTTGGTGTCGTCCTCCTTCGGGCGACCACTGCTGGCCGTTTCTTGGGAGATCGACCAGGCGTGTTGCTCGGTCGCCTCCGCCGCCATGCCCTGGCTTCTGCATCGGGGCAACCTCCTGGACGACTCCCCGGAGGAAGTGGCGAAGCTGATCAGAGAGGCCGACCCCAACGGCGAGGCCATGATCCTTGGGTGGCCGCCCCTCCTTGTCAGGACTTCTCTCGCGTCGGAGCCCGCGCCGGGCACGAAGGTGATAGGGGGCGCCTTTTCCAGGATGCCATCGTCTTCATGGACGAGCTTCGCGCCCTCCTCGCCGGGCGCCGCTTCTCCTTCCTGTTCGAGAGCGTCGTCATGTCAGTGCCGGACGCGGCGGTTATTTCCGACGCCCTCGGTGTGGAGCCGGTCTTCGTCTGTTCGTCCGACTTCGGATGGGTGTCCCGGCCCCGCCAATGGTGGCTCAGTGTCGACTGGGCGCTCGTCCGGACCAGCCAGGGCCGCTGGTCTCGGTTACGCCTGGCGGGAACCCGGGCAGCCGACTCCTTCGACCTGGGCGGCCTCGTTCCCTGTGCCACCACGCCAGCCCCGACGGAAGACGGCCGCCCCAAGCCTAAGTCGGCTCGGGGGCGCACACCTCGCCGGGCACAGGCAGTTCGCCCCTTGGCACTGCCATCGCCAAGCTATGCTCCAGGACGCCCAGGGCGTCCTTCACCTCCCGGCTGCTGCCAAAAAGCCCAGACGACGATGGCAAGGAGGCGACCGGCGACGCCCCAGTGCCAGCCGTTGCCCAACATGCGATGTCTGGCCTTGGCGTCCGCCCCCCCCTTGGCGGTGTAGCCCTTGGGGACGTCGTGGAGCTGCTCCTTGATCTCCGGCGTCGGCCCGTGGGGAGCCAGACTATAGAGTGGCTTCTGGGCCACTGGCACGCCCACGGCTGGGACTTCGCTCCGCCTCCTCGGCCCGATCCCCCCTTTCTGGGCGATGGCTTGTCTGAGGAGGAGCACTGGGCGGCTGCGCCTCACTTTAGCCACTCGCTGACTTCGCCGCCGGTCCTCGAACCGGCCCTGGAAGGTGTGCTCCAATTCCGCGCCCACTGGCGCCACGACATGGTGCGCATTCGCCATTTGGTGATCCAGGAGTTGGAGGTGATGGTGCACGACGCCCAGGAAGCCACTGCATCCTGGCTCGCGGCTCGACCCCACCACGTCCGGGCGACATATTGCACCGAGGACCGCCCTCGCCCATTTCAGGGCCCCGTCCTCCTGGATCTACTCCACCAAGACCTGAGGGCGGCTTCGACATGCTGGGTGAGGTCCGTCGAGCGCCGGGCTGGAAGAGCAGGGAGGACCGGCGGTACTCCAACCCCGCTCCCATAGATCGTCTTCGCCGGGAGAACCCTTCCTATGTTTCTGCGAACACTCGTCGGCCCCAGGACTCGGAGCACACCCTGGCCCTCAGGGATGAGCTCGTCAAGGAGGCTCGGCTGGGGCGCGTCATGGGCCCGTGTCGGGCGCCTGATGGATGGGGCGTCACCATGGCGTCCTTGCCGGAGGTTGCCGATATGCCCCCCTCGAACCGCCTCCACTGCTTCCCCCCTCTCTCCTTCGCCATCACCCAGCTCGACGAGAACGGGGACCTCAAGCTGCGTCGAGGCGAGGACTGGCGAAGGTCCGGCCACAACGCCACCATGCGGGCGCACGACGTCCCAACGCACCACTTCCTCGGGGACATCGTGGACATCATACGCCGGGCGATGGCTTCGGGCTGGGACCCTGTGCTCTTCGGGCACGACCTGCAGAACGCCTACCGCCAGTGGGCGGTGAAGTTCCCGGGTCACTGCGGGACGTTCCTCCCGACGGCCGCCGGAACCACTCTTTGGTTCCATTTCGCCATGTGCTTCGGCGCGGCGGCGAGCGTCTGGAACTTTAACAGGGCGGCCGACTCCGTCCAGATGCTGGCCCGGGCGTTGCTCTTGGTCCTCTTCGGCCACTTCGTCGATGACTTTAACGGCGTGGAGGACAAGGCGGAGGCCGACTCCGCCCACTTCGCCCTGGCCGACTTCTTCGCCCTTCTGGGCCTCCAGACTAAGCCGTCCAAGGCTCAACCACCGGCTCAGGAGCATGTGGTCCAGGGCGTCTCGGTGCGGGTGGCCGAAGCGGGCGTCGAGCTGCGCCCGACCGCCGACCGCACACAGAAGATCCTCAAGCAGATCGACCACGCCCTGGAGACGGGGGCCATGAAACCGGACGTGGCATCCAGGCTGGCCGCGCGACTCACCTTTTTCAGCCAGTCGGTTTTCGGCTGCACCGGCCGGGCAGCCATCAAGCCGCTCTACGCCAGGGCGGCCGACACGGCGGCCCACTCCGACGACGCCTTCTCGGTGGGGCTTCACTCCGCCCTCCTGGCCCTCCGACGCCTGGTGGCTACGGCCAAGCCGCGCCTCATCCCTGGCCGGGGCCGGTTACGGGACCAGTCCCCGTCCTCTACGCTGACGCCTTCTTCCTGGAGGGCGACTTGCGCAAGAAGGTGGGCCACCTCCAGCCGGGGGACCAGGTCCCTCGCTCAGCCAGATGGGAGAACGGCTGGGGCTTTGTGCTCCTCCTCGAGGGCCAGGTGTTCTACGACTTCGGCGTCGTCAAGCCCGAGTACCTCAAGCCCTTCGCGTCTCGCCGGGCCTTCATCTACGTGCTGGAGATTTTGGCGCAGGTGCTCCCTGTCATAACCTTCGCCAGGCGGCTGCCCCAACATTGGATCGCCTTCATCGACAATGTCGCTGGGCAGTTTGCCCTCATGAAGGGATATGGGCGGGACCCCGCCGTGAACGGTATCCTCGCCTCCTTCTGGGGCCTGGCGGCCGATCGGGCTTGGTGCCCCGAGTTCTACAGGGTCCCCTCCGCCGCCAATGTTTCCGACGCCGTCTCTCGGGGCGACAGAGCAGCCCGTGAAGGATGGTGCCGTGTTCGGGCACCGGTCGACGACGTCATGGTGATCCTCGGGCGGGCGGCTTCCGACATCGACTACGCCTGCCACGAGGCTCCTGAGAGGCTGCTAGACCTTGCTTCTTGGTAGTCAGTGCCGGCACCTTATGGGAGGTGGGTGCGCCGGGCGGACGCAGAAGTGCGCACCCCGGCACCGGCACCGGCTTTCGGGGCGGTGTGCTCGGCCGGGCGCATTTTATGCGACTCGAACATACAAAAAGGAGCCACTGCACCCTAAGTAGGATTTTGGGCTAACTCGTTAGCGCAGCGCTTGTTGTGTAGCGCACGCGTGCGAGTAGGAACAAGCGCCAGCGATCGACCGCAGTCTGCCGGCTCGATCGCTCCTGCTTTTCATTTCCCGCCCACTCCACCCTTTTGCTTCAAACGACTTATATACGGCCGTCACCCGCCCCACCGGGCGGTTGTCCGGGGCGGACGCAGAAGTGCGCACCCCGGCACCGGCACCGGCTTTCGGGGCGGTGTGCTCGGCCGGGCGCATTTTATGCGACTCGACCATCCAAAAAGGAGCCACTGCACCCTAATTAAGTAGGATTTTGGGCTAACTCGTTAGCGCAGCGCTTGTTGCGATGCGACCCTGGTGTCCCCCCTTACACGGACGGGTCACCCGCAACCTTGCACCGTCGAGGTTGATGGGGCCGCGATGAAAGCCGCCGAGCGTCGCAAGAGGTCCACGTATCCCGAGCTTGCGCGGGGTCCACAGAGGCTGGTCCTCGGCGGCTGCTGGTCCTCGGCTCGGAGATAGGTGGACGGTGGAATGAGGGGTCGCAGCGGTTCGTGCGCGACCTGGTGCGCTTGCGGGCTCTCCGCGCACCCCCTGCAGTCAGGAACGCGGCGGCCGCAGCTGGGCGAGGCGCTGGTGGAACGCTCTTTCCGTCGCGATCCAGCTCGCAGTGGCCAGTACTGCGCTTGGCTGCCCCTGGCCGGCTGCTCTGCAGCAGGGGCCGAGTGACGGCCCTTCCTTGGATCGTATCCTCGACCTTGCAGCCAACGAGGGGCCCAGCCGCCTGCCGCTGCGGCCCTAACCCGGGACCGTAGTAACACGAGGAGTTGAGACGACCTTTGCAGTCGTAAAAAGGCGTGAGAAAAAAAAAAAAGATGGACGCGCTCCCCGTCATCCGCTCTCGCCTGCCCGGCGCAGCTGATCGTTGCTTGGTTGCTCTGGAGCAAGGCGCGGAAGGCACGATCCCCTGCTTACGCGAGGCAGCGGCAGAGCAAAAGGCTGGGAAGCGTGCCCTGGCTGGCGCGCTGCCTACGAAGGCGCCCGGCCGCAACGACCCTGCGATGCAGGCCCGGGCGAATGGCCTCACGGCTGGCAGTTTCACGTGACGCGGACTCGAAACCTTCACTATCGCGACCGTGTGCTGCTGCCGGCTCTGCAGCCATCCCCTCGGGCTTTGCTACGCTCACAAGGCGGGGCACACGCTGGTGCATGGCTATCGGCAGTGCCGAGCGAACCAGCACTAACCCTCGCCCCGCAGGACATGCAGCTCGCGTTGCTCCTCCGCTGCTCAGCTCCGGGTAGGTGCTCCGTTTGCGGCGCTCGGCTACCCTGAGCACGGCCCCGTCCGTATCAGCGGCTCCCGGCTGTGGATGCCCCGTCCGTGCGAGAGGTGAAACGAAAGTCGCATCGCAGCACAGTGCGCCTCCCCGCGGTGTGGCGCCGTAGACGACTAAGTCGAGCCGTCTGCGGTCGTCAGCTGGCACGCCCGGTGCGGTAGTGTGCACGAGCCATTGTTGAGGGACGACTTGCCCATCAGAGCCGACCGCCTCGCGGGCTACGCGCACCCAGGCCCGCTCGACGACTTTCGCTCGGCGAGCCAACAACCCTGTGCGGGGGCAGGCGAGGGCATGGTCCCCGTACTCGTCCACCTGCTGCCCGCAGCCGGGGCTGGGGCCGCAACGGTTTGGGCTAAGCGGCAGGGGTAAGCGCAAGCGGCGCCGCAAGAGCTCGTAGTTCTGGGCTCGGAAGTTGGCGGGCGCTGGAACAGCGAGGCTGGCCGCTTCGTGCAGCACCTCATCCGCGTCCGGTCCCACAGAGCTCCGCCAGCTCTTCGCCGCGCGGCCGCTGCGGGCTGGTCGCGCCGTTGGTGGGGCTTGCTGGCTGTCGCCGTGCAGCGCGCGGTAGCCAGCACGGCGCTGGGGCAGGCTTGGCCAGTGCCGCTCCACCCGCGTCAGGGGGATGAGCCCCCCCTCGAGCGAGTGCTCGAGCTCGCCGGACCAGCGGCGGGCCCTAGTCGCTTGCCCCTGCGCTCGTAGCAGTTGGCAGCGACGATCCAGCGTAGCCGTAGCGACGGTAGTCAGCTTGCCTCTGGCAGCGTATGGGGAGAGCCGGAAAAGAGGCGCGTAAAAAAAAAAAAAACATTCTCCCCACGCCCGCCCCCTGTGTGTGTCGCTTGTTTTGCTGCCTGCGCATCTACCTTGCAGTCTTGGCACGGGCCGCAATGTGCGAGCAGCTGGGAATCGTTTCGACTCGACCAATTTCGAGGAGCTATTTACGTTTGACGCCGAGGTTCCACAGCGCCATGGGTAAGCTTGTGTACCTTTCGGCGGAGCGACGAGACATTCAGTTCGCGATCAAAGAAGTGGCACGAAGGATGCGGGCCCCGAGGGTCTGCGATTGGCTCGCTGCGGAGACAGTTGATGGAACCGCCGCCGAGCAAGACCGCAGCCCTGCTCCAGCAATTTGTCGAGCAGGACTGCGCCGCTGCGGACTGAATCCCTCCGTTAACTTGCCCGAACGCGTCGCCATGCCCAGCGTGCTCGATGTGCAACACAGCTTGCCGGCATTTGTTTGCATTTTGAAGCAGCTCATACAGCGATATACTGCGCAATAGGTCCGCCCAGCAGAGCAAAGCACTTTGCTTTTTCGCATCGCAAATAAGCATAATTAGCTGTAACATTACACAGTTTGCCATTTTGGCGCCAGATCTTTTTGCTTATTGGTGGCAACGCCCCGGCTCCCTCATCTTGAAAGGCATGCATGCCTTGCTCTGCGACCACCCGCACAAAGATCACAAAGCATGGCGGAACGTCGATGATATACTTGCCTTGCTTCGCGGCTCCACGCTGCAACTACCTGTTGCGAACCGTGCCGCCCAGCATGACGGACGAGTTCGCAGCAACCCATGATGCAGCAATCTCGCGCTGCCTCGCCGTTTTACTCGCGGGGGGCGACCAGCCGATCGACTTGCCTCCCTTGAGCGAGCGCCGGGCGCAACTGCCTCTTCGCATGGGGGGTCTCGGCCTACCCTCCGGGAGGGACCATCGTCATGCGGCGTATCGGCGCTTAATGCCACCCGGGCACCCTCGCCAGGCTCGTGCGACCCTTCACGGATTTTTCCGCCCCTAACACGCAGCTCAGCGCGAGAGAGGCCGAGCACGCAACTCAGTCCCTCCGCCTTCAGGGCCTCCAAACTCCAACGTGGGCAGCCCTCGTGGGGCGGAGGCCGTCCCCTTGGAGGGGGGTGACGACCCGTCCCTGAAAGTGAGGCGGGGGTGGCAGCGCAGCGCTGGAGCCGCTGTGGACAAGCGCGTGTTTGCGATGCTTTTCGCTGAGTTAGACTCTGCATCGCGAGCACTGCTGCTGTCCCAAAGCGGCGCGGGCGCCAGCTCTGCACTGACAGTCCTCCCTACCGGACCGGACTTCGTTGTACCCAGCGCGGCTCCCGCTCGCGCCCAAGCGATGCCAGTGTGGGCGCCACCTCGACAGCTTGGGAGACCACCGGTCTGCCTGCGCCCAAGTCGGGGTCCTGGCGCACAGAGCTGGGCCGCTGGAGCGCGCGGCGGGAAGCCGGTGCCCGGGTCGCCACAAGCGTCGCCTTGCGCGACCTGAACGTGGATGTCCCTGCCACTGACAGTCGGCGGATTGAGGTCGTCGCAAACGGCCTGCCGCTGTGGCGCGGGGCCCAAATCGCGGTTGACACGACGTTGGTCAGCCCCGTCCAGCGCGACGGGCGTGCGCGACCCGGGGCCGATGCGAGGCCAGCGCTGGCACTTCAACAAGCCAAGACGCACAAGCTCCGCACGTACCCCGAGCTCCAGCCAGGCGGGCACGGACGCTGTCGCTTGGTGGTCTTCGGTCTCGAGATCGGCGGGCGCTTCGACAGCCAAGCGTTGACACTGCTCCGACGACTCGCTCGGGCTCGCGCCAGGGACCGAGCGCCGTGGGCGCGGGCGGCCGCGCTCACGCGACGCTGGACGGCCCTGGCGGCGCTCGCGGCGCTGCGCGCGCACGCCCAAAGCCTGCTGGAGCTGCCGGTCCAGCCTTGCGACGCCAGTGACGGCGTCGAGCTGCCGCTCGGCGAGCTCCTTGCGGCGCCGCTGTAGTGCCGTAGTGGCGACCCAGCTGCGGACGGAAAAAGGCGTGTGGAAAAAAAAAAAAAAACAGAATGCACCAGCTCGTCGAGTTTTTGATTGCTTTCTTCTCCACTCTGCCTGGCCCCACTAGTTGGAGAAAAGCTCTGCTTGGACCGCAACTCACTCGGTGCGGGTATTCTGTTTCCGCACGGAAATTGTGGCATTCGTGCAAAGCATGCAAAAGTTGCGGGAGCAATTGCACAAACTCCGCAAATCAGCCAAGGTTCACGAGAAACACCTCGAGGCTTGCCTCGGTCTTCTGTACTGTGCCACCATTCTCAGCCCGCACATACAGCGATTTGCAGAGTTTCCTCCACCTCGCGGCTACGTGGGCTCGCCTGCACCGTTTGCAATTCCAGGTGGCGCACCTGGCAGGTGAGAAGAACACGTGGGCCGACGCATTCAGTCGAGGACGACTGCGTTTCACCCAGCAGCGCTCCGCTGAGCGTGTACGCATTACGCTGCCCAAACTTGCTTCCGCGTCGCATACAGTTTCACTCAAGAAGGTTAGGAGCGGCCTCCTGCGCTATAAATCGCCGCGGGCATAAGATTGAGCTTCCAAGTCTTCATGCACCGCGTCCTTTTTCGCGTCACTGAGTACAGAGCGCCTCGCTTCTGTTTGTTTTTGCGTTGCCATGCCAGGTCCTTTTTCTTCATCCCGCGCATATTTGAGCGTGATCAGGAATGTTTGGTATTAGGACGCCACCCGCTGCCGACGGGTTGTGAGAGGACTTAACGGGTCTTGCCGAGGTAGGGGGGCACCGGGGGCGGCACTCAAGCGGCTTTTTCCGCCGATGAGCACCCCCCTCCTCGCCCTTATTCCTCCCTTCATGGCGACAGTGCGTGGCGTACTCTTTTCCTTTTTCTCTTCCCAAAAGGCGGTGTCAGCTACCGCATGCTTGGTAAGTTCTTCGTCTTCCATGCCTCCATGCTCCCGTGCTCCTAGTCGCTCCGCTCTAGCTTGTTGCCATCTTCCGCACCTCCCGTAGGTCTCGCACCTCCCATCGGCCTTTCTTTCCATGCCTCGTGCTGCAATCCCAGGCCCCGCCTCTCGCTCCGAGATTGGGGTCTGGCTCGTGGCCTTCTTCCACCGCTCCCGTAGGTCTTTCGCCTTCCATGCCTCGTGCAGGGTTTTCCTGCTGCAATCCCGTCTCGTTCCGAGATTGGGGTTTGGCTTGTTGCCTTCTTCCACCCCTTCCATGCCTCGTGCAGGGTTTTCGTGCTGCAATCCCAGGCCCCCCGTTCCGCTACGAGATTGGGGGTCTGGCTTTCTTTCGCTTTCCATGCCTCGTGCAGGGTTGTCATGCTGCAATCCCAGACGCACGCGAGGCGCATCGAGGTCGTGTGCAACGGCGCACAAACTTGCCGTTGACGCGACGCTCTTCAGCCCGGTGACCCGAGATGGCCGCCCGCATGACGGCGTTGAACACCACCCGGGTTGGGCCGTCCGCTGTGCTGCGCGGCGCAAGCGCAGGCAGACGTGCCCCCGTATACTTCCGTACCCCGAGATCGACCGCGGCCGACGCTGTCGCCTTGTCGTTTTCGGACTCGAGGTCGGTGGACGGAGTGGACTCAGCTCCGTTGCGGCGCAGCGTGCGCTCGCTGCTACCTTCCTTCAGCTACCCCTCCAATCGGAGCTTGGTGCTGCTGGCCCGCTACCAGGTTTGCACGAGCTCCTTGCAGACGCTCGCTGGCAGGAGGATCCGGAGCTTGACTCCTGCCACGCGATTGCTCGCTTGCTTCATGACGCAGCATTTGCTCCTCACTCCCCCGCTGTTTGAGCTCCCTTGCCGGTGCGGTCCGCCTTCTCGCGACACTGGCTCCCAACCGCCTGGATTCGGCGACCTGCCCCCTCACCGTCCCAGTCGGGGCCTTTTGCTTCGAGGGTTTTCACCGGCCTGCCTTCCAGCCAGGAGCTCACTTTGGACTCGCTTGTTTTCTGTGCTTTGCTGCTCCGCCGGCTCCGCTGTCGCTCCCTTCGCCCCGTTGGCCCCCTCGGTGACCACCGCGCTGCTTGCCTCCGTTCCGGCATCCTGCGGTTCCGCGGCCTCCCGCTCGAGCGAGCTGCTGCCCGTGTTTGCCGCCGGGGCTACAGTTGCCAGCAATGTCTTCGTGCGGGACCTCAACATCCACCCTGAGCGCCGCGATGACCGCCGCATCGAAGTCATCGCAAATCGACCCCCGCTTTGGAGCGGAGCAGGCGGAGCACAGCTTGCTGTCGACACCACCCTTGTGTCGCCTCTCGATGCCAGTGGAGCTGCGCGCCGGCACCAGCGACAGTACCGTGGCGCCGCCCTGCGCCTTGCCCGCAGGACCAAGGAACGCACCTATACCCCGAGCTACTGCGGGTGCAGGCTCGTTGTCCTTGCGCTCGAGGTCGGAGGCCGCTGGAGCTCAGAGGCTGCCCAGTTTGTCCGCCTCCTCGCGCGCTGCCGGGCCCGCGCCGTCCCTCGCCCGCTGCGACCTGCAACCATCGCAGCCTTCTCCAGATGGTCTGCCCTGCTGGCCTGTTCTGCCGCCAGAGCCTTCGGTGCCAGTCTGCTTGGCTTTTCCCTTCAGGATATGCTAGGTTTGACGTATGTTTGAGGCATCCAAAAAGCGAGCGAACAGGCGCGGAACAGGATTTCTGCGAATAGTTCGCTTGAGCTGGTTGGTTGATGCCGTTCCTTTCAAGCTCACGGGAACCCGTGTCTAGTTAGGAAAGTGGAAAGGGTTTAATTCATGCAAAGCTCGCGACGGGCACACCGAAGGCGGGCTGGCTGTTGGGTTCAGAGATGACCGTGTAGTGAGAGCATAGTCTTCCGCATGTTCGACAGGTGCTGCGCCTCATGAGCTTGGCAGGCCAAGTTTGTAAAACGATAGGGTTGAGGGTTCTTTGACAATTAGTAACCTGAGCTGTC